TAATTAATAATATATTTATCTGTTTATACCTGTATCATAAAATACACTTCAATGTGAGATTTCCACTTGAAAATTTACAAAACGCGACACGTGTTTCGCTATACAATATCATCTTCGAGCGTCATAATACTGAAGATGCTTCCAGGTGGAAATCGCCCATTGAAGTGTGTTTTTTAAATACGTTATAATAGATTTTCATCGGGTATCGTTCTATCATATTTTTGATAGTGAATTGAGGATTTATTCTTCTAACGTAATTAAATAACTTTAAATTAATTATCTGACTGGATCATAGATAAGAACTAAATTTTAGTATTTATAAAATGTTATAAATGTTAAGAGTAATTTATCAGTTCCGGTGGAGAAAACTCATGTAAACTCATGTAAACTGTAAACTTTTCATAGTAAAAATCAAAGTAAACTGTGTTGGGGTGTTATTTATTTTTCAACTATAGGGATTCTAGAAAACATTCGAATCAATTCTATCTAAAATCTTGACGTCACATTCATGGACATATGTTAATATTCTCTCCAATTCAGTTAACTTTCTGTTTCGTTTGAGATATTCACTGATTTCTCACACCATGAATGGTCAATGTAAGGTTATTTCCATTGCCATATTTTGTTGTATTTTCTTCTAACACACTTCACAAAATGGCATTTACCAGGCTAGCTTTCCTGAACGCATCGAATTCGTTGGGAAATTGAAAGTGATAAATGGCATAGTCGTGGATAGAATATCAACCGCATTATTATTTCTCAATTACTGAAGTGCCGTATTTACGCTGACTGACTGTGCATGTCTTGAACACGAAGTTGTATGGAATTACGACACGAGTTTTGTATACCCAACGATTTTTGAGATAAAGATAAAAAGATTAAGGGGACTTGAAACCGGTAAAACGTTTAAATTTCAGATGAAGATAATATATCAGTTGAAAAGATTTCGTTGAATCTTTGGCAACATATTTCAGGAAAATGCTTGTTCCTTGTCCTACTTGTCTCCGCACAATGGCGATTGAAAATAGCTCTTGATTTTTCAGTTGCTTTTTCGTCTAGAATCGATCAACGGAGAATTTGTGGAAGCAATTAAATTACTCTCCGTGAGAGTGCGACACATGATAGAATATGCAGATCATTTCAAAAAAGTTTACCAAAAATTTTCCCGTTCATGTAAAAATAATTATGAAATTTGATTGGATATGAATTGAAAGGTGTATATTTTTGGGAGAGAATAATTTTTCTGAAAGGTTTTGGCTTTCTACTTCTCAATCTTTACGAAAATAAAAATATGGGAAACTTCACAAGAAAAGACACAAAGCAATCAATTTCGAAAAATCAACTTTATACAAAGATGTGTAGATCATACGAAGAAGTGACACAAACTGGAAGAAAAAGCCCTCTCGAAACAACTACTTTCGTATAAACTTCGAATTACACGAAAGGAAAACACTTTCTAAACAACTACTTTTATATTAACATTGAATTATACAAAGAGGTAGATTAAACTTATAATATTATAATAAAATGATAGTATCAAATTCGTCAGGTTCTGACATTGAAAAATTACGTAGAAATATTTTACCATGGTTCGAAATATTATTCAAAATGGGAAACATTGCACTTTCCGAATATTATGTGAAATATGAAGACAAACACTCGTATTATTTTCAATGAAATCAGTGTTACTCATTACTTCAGAGTCTCCCAAACACAGGCAAAAATTATACATTCATATTTGTGAAGAATCCATTTCTTTGGGTACTTCAATCTCTTTGATAAAATGACAAATCCAATTGAACCAGAACATCTGAAAGCTCAAATATAAAGTGAAGCGGAGAAACAAATATCTCACATACCTAAAGCATACTTTTTTTATATCTCAGTGTGGATACATAGATATATTTATATACATAGTGTTGATTGAGATGAATTAATATATTATCATAATTACATATAGATTATTCATTATAGGTTGGCATATGATTTGATAATAAGGAATGATATGTGTAATAACATGATGATAAAACTGAGAATACTAATGAAAGCAATAAATTTGATTGAAGTAATGCCCAAGGCAAAGAAGAATGAGATGACGGTGGAAGAAAGGTTGCCAGAAATATTCAAGGTGAATACTATACTGAGACAAGGCGATTCACTATCTAAAATACTTTGTAATCTTGTCATAGAATAAGCTAATGAGCATTCAGTTTCCAAATAAGTACGAATGACCAGTATAGCACAATCCTCATTGACTAATTATTAGGGTTTCTTGAAGATCAGCCAAAAGTGAGAGTTTTTTTTTGAGAAAAAAATTATTTTTCAGTTAAATTATTTACAAAAACATTTCTTTCAGGCCAGTCTCAACTTACCTATACTGTAGGTTAATGGACTGACACCTATCACAAAACAACTACTCCCCCGGCTAATACCACGAAGGGAGTAGGATTATATCCGACAGGTGTCAGTACAGGATTCTTCACTGAAGTTATTCCTGCATTTGCTGTTGGCGATACATGTACCGTAACCAATTTTCAATTATTGAAACACACTTGCAGACCGGTTTCGGGCTGTTTGCACGGTAGTGTCTATCTTCAACATAAAGTCGATGCTTTCCAATAATGGAAAATCAAATTCTTTCAGAGCATCTTTCCTCGAACTAGGCTGAAGCGAACGACAAACAACATGTTTGTCATAGCCCCATCTGCCTGTGAACGAGGTAACCAACCGCATATCCGAATTTGCCCAAATTCTTCGTATATATGAGGAATTTCGGCAAACTCATAGGCAGTTGCTTCGTTTTCAATGTTAGTAATTTCATTTAGTTTCTTTAATATTTTCCCGAACCTGATCCTAAATGTTCGATAGACTTGATGCAAGGTTTCCCTATTTCTGAAACTTACTTCTTTTTAAACAACAACTTTTCAGTTGTTAAGGAAATAATGAAATAATAGAGAAATGAAAACCAGAGAAATAAAAGTGAGCCACCTTCTCCTCACATTCTATTATGTTTCCCATTGGGCTCAACACAAACACAAAGTCGAAACCTATGCAAGCTGAAGATTGAGGAGGTATCACCTTTCAATGTGAGACAACTAGCACGTATCGGATAATTCACAATGGAATTCATTTTCAAAATACAATCAATTTTCGAATCACTTTCGCAAGTGATTAGAAGCAGAAAGATTTTCAGTGTTACGATCTTCGTTCGAGTTTTGAGGCCGTCGTGGTTTGAAACTGTATCCTAACATTTCGCCAGCACGAGTGGCTGGCTTCTTCAGCCTGATGGTTCACCGATGACTCGTGATTTCTAGTTTGTAAGCTGTATTTATGTTGACACAGGTAGCCCGCCTTTCTAGTTGGTGCGTTGTTATTGGCCGAAGTGTTATTACCTGCTAAATTGCCTTGCACTGCTGCCACCATAGCATCTTTGGCCTAAGTGTTATTACCTGTTACATTGCGTTGCACCGCTACCACCTTAGCATCTTTTAGTATGGGATTCCAAATCCGGTTAAGCGTCTCCTCTTTTCTGTTGTTTTTTGTATGTTTATGGATTTCTATGGCTTCCCGTACAAGCCGACTGTGGTATCCATGATCGGGTGCAAGTAGTTTCACATCTTCAAACGCAGTAGCGTGTTTCGCTACTGCCGATATTTCTATTTGACCTAATCTAAAATTTGTTCATTCAGCCTTGTACCCATGGATCTGTTGGTGGTACCGATATAAACTTTTACTCGGGTGCATGCTATACCTACGAGTATACGGTATGCCCCCGCAGCTGATAGTGGATCTGTTTTGTCTTTGTTTCATAACATTTCTTTCATAACATTACTTTTCTCTTGACTTATCCTTGTCGTCTCTTGTCGAAAGAGAGCTATTTTGTCTTGTCTTGTCTGATTTTTCAAAGGAACAGTCTGCTCGTTTAGGACAAGACCAGCCAAGAGACGAGAATCTCTTGTATTGTTGGCAACACTAAATTTCAAAATACAGCACCGTACCTATTTATGAACGAATACTCTTCTAGTAAATCACATAAAAGGTAAAATTATACAACTTGCTATCAGAAATACGAATCACAAAGTTATTTTTGGTACATAAAATATTTTCATGTGGCTTATAATGTATGCAAAATTTTGAGTATTTTCCTCAATAAAATCCCCACGACCTCAAAATTAGATATCACAGGAAAGATTTTTTCAAGTTTCAATGATGCATCATTAATGGAGAGTTGCTGTATAAACTCGTTAAGATGGGGATGACCTTTTATTTCCAAAAATCCTCATTCCTGTAGTGAAAATAATATTACGAAACCTTTCAATAATTGTAGATAATCAAATGATACCAAATGCTAATAGCGGTGAAGTTTGCTTTTCATCATATTTTTATCATAAATACATATAATACTGATTTTCGTACGGCAACTCGGTTAATTTTCTATGGTACTGCAGGTTATTGATGTAAGTACCCCAAAGAGATCCATTTTTTATTATGACCTTTACAACGCTTTTGGCCTCTGATGTCATCTAGTTTCCCGGTGAAAGCTACAAAGAGAAATGGAATGTTGTGAACTTTCGTTCATCTTCGAGATTTTAATGGGTTAGGTTTGAAGTAAATCTTTGTAACCAGTTTCTGTACCACAATCTGCAATTTTTCGAATTTATTATATTCAATATCGTAATATATTCAAGAATTTAATATATTCAAAGAAACTTGAGAGAATATTATACTCCTAGTTGCATGGTGCCCTTCTTCAAAATTTCAATAAAAGAGTGGTAACAACGGATAATTCTCGTATACCGAAGTCTAAGCCAACGACTTGAAAGTTCGTCAACCTAGAGTGGTGACATTAATGATTCACTCAAGATGAATACCGAAACCCACATTGTTTGAAAAAAAAGCACATATTATCTATTCGTATCTGGAACTCATTTCCCAACCGAAACGAAACCAGATCAAACAACCCACCGATCGAGGCCTTCACCGTACCTTTTGTTTTCCAGGTGTCAGTCGCGGCGAGAATGTGGGGCCGAGCGCAACTGCTCGTGCTGCTGGTCGCCGCTCTGACGACGACGTCCACCCGGGGGGCGAATCAGGACAACGAAGAGAGCCAGCTAAAAGTCGGAAGGTCCATAGACATCTTCACGAGATATGGATATCTCAGTCTTTCGATGAAGGTACATTTTTGTCTAGTTTATAGTATATAACTACTCGAGTTTTTATTATAGTTTTCAATCGCAGAACATTGAATTAAACTTCAATTGGAATCTTCTTCGCTTTTCTCACGCCGTAAACTTTGATAGGTGGGGGTGTGTTGTTCTGATGTGGGAAAAGTGGTCCCTTCATAATAAAGTATAATTTCGAATACTCATACTTGTATACTTCAAAACTGTCAGAAAACAATATAAAATCTAAACTGCCCCTACTACGAGATGTCTTCCTTCATTTTTTCAGTATCTGAAATTACTGCTACAACCCCATTATGGAACCAACAATATTTTACATATATCTTGGAACACATTTTGCGTTTTTTTTTCTTCTGTCAAAATGGCGAGATAACCAGTTCATGTTACTAAAGATGAAGTCAGCAAGCCATCGGAGCACTATTGCCTGTAATGACAAAAGGCAAAGTAGATTCCTGACCAATGGTGATCCAATTTTTTGTTTCACTAGTTGTGAGTATTATTTCAATTCACCTGATCACATTCAAACTACGCTTCTCAAAAAAGTGCTTTCAAATACCCTAGCGATTGATGACTTCAAACTTCCAAAAATTTGTAGTCTTAGTAAACTGTTTTGTGTAACTTTTGTAAAAATCTACATGATGGATTGTGCCTTGCTGCAACGTTTGACCTTTCTTCAACTTCTCAAATTCTCCACAACTATTCAACCCACTGAAAACCTCGAATTGAATGTCTTTTTTGTATTATGTGTAAACACGATTCAAGCGTAATATCGGTGCTCGTCTACTGGAATATACAAATTTGAAGAATAATCGACCAAGTTACACACTATTATATTGACACATGAATGTAGGTCATAAAATACACTTGTCTAAAGTATCCTATCGTGATTATATATAAATAAAGAAAATTGTACACCACTTCACATGGCGTGAGAAGATTTGCAAACCCTATATACGAGATCTGTTGAATAAATAAGGTGAATTTTCATCTTTCTCAAAAAATATTCATTTATACATAACGTGACCATTCATTTATTTTGTCAGAGCGGAACACATCTGCGGAAATATATAATAATTTTTTTTTATTGTTTTACAAGTATTTTATTATAGAAGATAAAATGACCCAAAATAATCAAAGCTTTAAACACAAAATTTAAATTGGCATAACTAAGCCCCCAGTAGTGGCCTGACTTCTGAGTCGTATTTTTGCATTTGTCGGCTGAACAATTTTTTTAAATATCGGGTCTTGTTTTTATATGCGTGTGTAACTCAGTACATGATCGATTCATATTTGTTTTCGTAATCAGAATAGCTTTCAGTATTGCGTCACTTTATCACTGGTCCCTATTTTGTTTATTTGGAAAAAAACTTTCGACTGGTGCGTTACTACCAGGCAGACACATAACGTACTCAATAATTATGGAAAAGTTTGTTAAATGAAGGTTGTTAGTACGGAAATGCTGGAATAATTCAACCCAACGGTTTTCAAAAATGAATGTAAACTCATCAAAGACTTTCGTATCTTGGCTGCTTCTAATAAACCCTTGCGTGATCAGTTAATCCATTACTTTCTGCACCTCTTCCCACGTAGGCACCTCTGTTAAGTTTGCCCATTCAAACACTTCCAGTTCTGTGTTGAATTGACGCCACTGCTCTACGTATTCTTTTACATTCTGCTGGTCAACAGCAGCTTCGCTTTCTTGTAATTTTACAAGGAGGTTACGGACGATTTGGGGAAGGAAAATCGTATTCTCTTTTTATGCCAGGTTATCTCGGAGACGATTAAATACCTTGGCTGACTCTATGGCCGACACATTTTGCCCTTCGATTTTCAACACAGCTTCATGAAAGGTCGCTGCTTGTGCGTGCAAAAAATATAATCATAATTCTGAGCTGAGATTATTGAAAAACGTCTTTAAAATATTTGGGCATTTATCGATACTCAGAAAATTGTTTTTCAAAGGCTGAAAAATTTTAATAACTCTCTCAATCCCGGGCATTAACGCAAGCCACCTTGTTTCACTGTAGCCCAACAGTTTGTGATACTTTGTTTCAGTAGAATCACAGAACTCTTTCACATCTTCCACTCGAACGCTATAGATGTAGAAAAATGAGTAAATTCTCACTGTGATGCATTCGTAGTCAACAGGAAGACAATCAGCGGCAGTTTTGATCGCGTTGTGGACTATATGGGCTCCACATCCAATTCCAATAAGCTGTCTGCCGAGTGATACGTTCAATTTTTAGTAAACATTATTACTTCCTTACCTATTCTTTCCCCAGAAATTACAGTTCGTATTGTCTCCACAAAACGCCACAATTGTTTTATTCAAGTCATTGTCAAATAATCGACAATTATATCCGATGTTTCGCCTGGCTGCTCCCGAAACTCTAAAACCTTGACTTTCACAACTTCGTATGGTAAAAAATAGTGAATCAAAACTGGGAATGATTTGATTGAACCATGGTTTGAAGGATCTGTTAGTAAAGTTATGCAGTGGGCTTTGAGTAAATGCTCTTTTAAATATTCGGTTACCATAGTTGACAGCACATTCACCACAATAGCTTGAGACTTTGTACGTGCACATCTAAATTTTTGCTCACAACATGCTTGAATTAAAGGAGAAGAACAGTAATTTGAACAAAAACTGTGATTATGTTGCACGGTGTGAAACGCCCAAGTACCCTTAGCTGCAGCTATTTCCAAATCCTTGGAAGTCGGCAAATCGATTTTTTTTAAACTAAGCATTGACGAGCTTGAAGCAGCAGCTTGATCGGCAAGCCTGTGTTTTTCTGATTGTGAAAGGTGTTCTATAGCACTGGTACCATCATGTCCAACACTAAAATCAGTACGACACTTTTCACACGTAACGTCTGCGGTACCATCTTTTCTTTGTTTTATAAATGGATATTTCTGTTGAAAACTAATATTGAAAGAGCGCTTGCGTTTAGGCTAAATTAGAAAAAATAAATTTCAGACTATCGTTGGGTCTGCTTGCAAAACCGGGACTATGTTGACTTCGCTGGGGACACCGGGACAGACTGCGTGAAACCGGGACTGTCCCGCCCAAACCGGAACGTATGGTAACGTTATCCATACATCAATTTCTATTTTGTCCCCTTCAAACTAGTTCTCTTCAGATATATAATACATTTGTGCCAGCGTTTTTTTCTCTCCTCGAAGCACTTCTGATATGCAATTTTTGGTATGTCCTTAAGGCTCCCTCAGCGATTCGGTTTTCATCTCCTCAATCGTTGCAGAACGCATCCTTTTTATGAGTCTTGGGAGGAAAAAAGTAGCAGGGGGACAAATCTGGTGATTACAATGGCTGAGGCATGATAACGGTGTTATTTTTAGTAAAAAAATTAAGAACTAGCAATGAAGAGTGATCAGATGTATTATCGTGACGCAAAAGCCAAGAAATGTTTTTCAACAATACCGTAAGCGACGCATAACTTCAAGATAATACTCCTTATTGACCGCACGCTAATGTAGTAAGAACTCCTGATGCACTACACCAAGGTAATCGAAGAAAACAGTGAGCAAAACTTTGACATTTGGTCAAACTGGACGTGCTTTTCTTGGTCTTGGCTCTCCTGGGCTCTTCCATTGAGTCGATTGGACTTTGATTTAGATGTTGATGATTCATCACCAGTTATGTCCCTTTTAAGTAAATCTGGATTGCGGTTGACGACATTCAACAATTCTTGAGCAATGCTCATGCGACTTTTTTTGTAAAAACTCAGCAATAGTGGAAAGAACTTCGCTGCCACACGCTTCATGCCCAAAATGAAGCGTGTGGCAGCCTCTGATAGTTTGTTTGAAGGTGGTTAACAATGTTTCGTGGTGCAACCCGAACTGATGAAATGTTCCTCTGATAGTAGTTCAATGATTCACCATAACAATTTTCTTGACTTTGTCAATATTTTCATCGGTTGTTGATTTGCTGGGGCGTCCAGGGCGAGCGTCGTCATTCACATCTTTTCGACCTTATGTGAAAAGCTTGTACCACTAGTAATTTTTTTTCTGACTCGGAGTACAATCACCGTATGCCAACGTCAACATTTCAATTGTTTTTGAGCCCTTAATTCCATTTTTCACACGAAATTTGATGCACATTCTTTAATCTATTTTGTTCGAAAGCCGAAAATCGCCGAACACGCAAATTACTTCTAAATTTTATGCCTCTCACCAACAAACAAACAGATTCTGCTAAACAGCTGAAACTGTGAACGTGGGTTCGAGACGAGATTACCAACACAAAATAAACGCTAATCGAATGTAATGCCATTAATATTGAAGATAGTTTCGATAGCGTTGAACCATAGTTCTGGCTCCAGAAAGGAAAAAGAATAAGTGATTTCGCTATATCAATTCGTTTGGTTTTTTCTGGACATGGGAACAAGCATGTCGTTAACAAAAATTACTTTATCGTTCTTGTCTTTAAATAAATGTTCTAATTTTTAATTGATTGAATGCATAAAAATTCAATGCCGTCCACATCTTTGTATAATTGATCCAGCAGACTTGTGAAGTCAAATCTAATATCGCTCTATTAGTGTCGAAATGAAGTAGTTGAGTTGTTGTAGAAGTTTAACCATCCTCATTTTTTTGTGATCACCAATTGTAATTTACAAACAACTACCAATTAACTCTTCAATAGAAGTGTATTTTGGTAGCTTGACAGCTATACCTTTTCAATATCTAACAAATCAATCAAAAACCACAAACATTGTGATAATTTTTCATCGACCTTTTCTTGGCTATTTGGTACCTTTCACAATCTGAAAAAATATAAAAATTATAATGGAGAACTTTATACAAGTGTAGAAAGGCAAACTTTTTAGTTTACCCCGATAAGTTACTGTGTAAAGTCAAAGTATTTTTTACAAAGAAAAATGTTCGATTTATCAGTAACTTGTCGTATTTAACAATTTTGACTATCAAAAAAATTTCTAAGAAATAATACAATACTCATAACAAATACCAAAAAAAACGATGAAAAACTGATTTTCCTCCAAAAAAAATTACTTTCGTTGAATATTGTGATTGATATTTTGTTTCTACTGAAAACTTCAAACTGGGCGCTAATGACCACTAATGTGATACCACACTACTTTCATGAAACAGCTGTTTTTTGCTGACTTGTATTCAGACACAAATTCATCGCAGATAATTCTGGAAGTGAAGTTACTTTGAATGAATGTGATGTATGTAAAACGATGATACTACTACGCTTTGTTAATCTCATTTATAAGTAAATACAGTTTATTTTGTTTGATTTGATAAAATCAAGTTAGTTGAATCTTCCTGGAATTCTGTATAGAGCCATAATTTCTCACCCTGAACAATTTTTCTCAGGAACATTGACGTATCATGAACAAAAAGATACATTACTTGACGCTTCCCCGTCAAGGTTAGCTTGGTTTTCAAAACCTGTGAATATTTCTGAGATGCATTTCTCACTAAGCAAAGCCTACTTCCAGAGCCTAGTCTGAATCCTGGGAGTACTGCATAGTGTAGACTCTGCAGAATATAAGGGACTTTAAAGTTGAAAGAGCTACAGTTGTTTCGATCGACCCAAACAAATGTTGGAAGAGACCAACGTCAAATGTTGAAAGATTTATAGAAAAAATGGAAATCTCTGAAATTTCTTAGAACCATTTTGAATCAAAAAATTCTGATCTTGGATATTTTTATTCCTAAAGGAAAAAACTACTTGAGTTTAAATTATCCATGATAATAAATAAACAATTTTCACAAATAGTCTAGACAAATTTCGCTAACACCGTAGCTTCTTCGGTAGAAAACACCGAAACACTCCAATAAATAATTCATGATAAAAAATCAGCGACTTTTCAATAGAGTTTGAAGAACTGTATTTTCCAATACAATAACCTATAGTTCAAAATTATAAAAAATTTCATGGTAGAACTAAATAGGCAAAGAGAAAAATAGAATATTACGCTGACTCTCACAAAAAAAAAAACACAAAAATTTTAAAGTCACCACATTCGATCATTCTCGTGTATTCCTAACGTGTAACCATGGCTACAATCGCCACGTTCGGACGCGATTCATTGGGGATATCAGCGGCGTAACAATTGCCTGTAGCTAAGGACCCCGCTATACAGCCATATTTTATTGAATTGTTCTCTAAACAGCTAGTCTCCGATGAGGCGCCATGTACTAATTCTAAACCAGTGTCGTTATAATATGAACTGACTATCGAAGAGAAAATGTTGACTCCCAACAACTGAAAAAAAGATCAAGATACTATGTTACGATGTTTCACGTGTTGCATACTTTCAATATGGAAATTTTGGTGCTGTGACGCAGTGGCCAAGACGTTATGTGATCCACAGGTGGAATATATGTGAAAGTGACGTCACGGCCAGTCAATATAGTCTTGTCTATGTCATGAACCGATAGTCGTTCTTTTCTCAGATTGTTTTTGTCCATTGTTATTCAGTAAACAAACTATTCAAAAAGGTATTCCTGAAAACTCTTCGTAACAATTTTGGTATGTTCTAGGTATTGTCAAGGAACGAATCGGACTGGATCTTCCGCGAGCCCACCATCAACATCTTCACCGACTTAGACCGGTTCGCCACTCACCCGGAGCGCGTCGGCAAGAAGCAAAGGCGCGTCTTCAACGGCGATTTCCATATGGAGTTCTGCGACAACGCACGCCAGCTGCTCCAGGCTTACTTCCGAGACTTCACCTTCGAACGATTGGACAAACCTTGGAGGGCGTTCACCTCCTCGTGGTTGCCGGAGACACTAGCCAGGAATCTGGGCATCAATGCCTCCTTCGTGCACAAAGAGCACTGTTACGTGTTAGTGCGTTTGTCGAGGTTTCGCGACGTGGTCAAGCTCGACAGGATACCGAACAATATAAATCTGGTGGACGACGTGGCCAGAGAGATCGACAAGATTCGCATAGGTGACGTGGAGAGTGTGCTAGTATTCATTAGGAAGTACGGATCTCATTATATTCATTCGTATGTTACGGGGAATTCTCTGTATCAGGTGAGTTTATGCCCTCGAAGTATTCAAATTTGGATTTTAATATACTATACAAGTGAAGTTTCGTTGTTTCGAACAAAAAATACGTTCGTATAATATCAGTAATTTGCAAAGATTACCTCAAAAAAAGGCACACAAATCAAATCTATGAAGAAGAAAGAAAAATAGTCTATTCATATGTCGTAAAATTAAATAAATATGTTCATAAACTCTCCTATATATTTTATGATTCCAAAAATACTTTTTATCACCTCATGAATAAAATTTTGTTTGAATGAACTGACAGCATTTCTACCGTATTTAGTTTCACGGTGACTTGTAGAAAAATTGTTATTTCCATTTCTCCAACTGATATATAATTATTTTGATTTCAAACTTTTTTATTGGATTTTTATTGGATTATTCAGTAAAATCTATGGACAATAAATAATAACAATAAAACAAATAATTCTCATCCTATACCAACAAATTGACATAATCAGGGAATTATTGTGACTAATTTTTTGAATAAATCCAATATCTATTTACATTTAAAATAAGAAATATACACTCAATCTGTGTATAACTGTAATATGATTGACTATACAGTCATAGGAAACTCCAGTTGAATATAATTTTCGACATACCAAGTTTGATTTATGGATGGGATGTAGTCACGTTACATTCCGACTCCCTGAAGATGCCAAAGATATTTAGCAATCGATTAAAGGGCAAAGTTTTACTAAAGGTCTCTTGATGAAGTCCTCAGTGGTGTTTACTACAGCTATCCTAGCGATATTATGAGTATCGTGTATGAATTCAACAATTCTACCAAGTAAACATTCTAAAGCATTAGTATTATCATCTTTGGTCAGAACCATACTTTCTAGTGAAACTAGCAAAATCGAGTCTGTCCATTTAATTACTTCTCCACTGTAAAATACGAAGATATTCACGGTCCCAATGTCTCCAGAAATCATGATGGATTCTCTGTAAAAGTTGCCCTTGCGTAAACCAATTGATTTTTATATTAGAGGTGTCTAGATCCGAATTAGCTGGTAAATTCAATTGGAATTACTAGCGTAATTATGAATCCAAGAAATTGATCCCTTTTCAGAAATTTGTTCGATTGATGACATATTTATTTTGTAGAAATTCATATTGAATATAGGATAAAAAAATACTTTTGTCTAATTTCTACTAAGTTTATTATTTGTTTGGCAATATGAGTCCTTAAACATATTATGATACAGGATACAGATGCAGAAAAAAACAATCGAGCATAAATAGAATAGAATTTGGTGACTGTTCAGCAGCTAATACAGGCCAGTCAGGCAGAAATTTCAACATAAGTTACCGGGAGCATGCGTTATCAATTGAAAAATCGGCTATATATGGTGGACATCTACAAGAAACAAACCACCTAATGAATAAAGGAAACATGTAAACTATTCATACGTGCAATAAAGAAAGGGAGATGACTTTATTGGAGGCATTGGAAATAATTAAATTGTATAAAAACCCCAATTTCAAAAAGCTCATTGATCTATTAGAACTATGCATCTCTCTCTTTTGAATATGTGAATTTTGACAACTAGTTTAGAATTCCTTGGTAGCTGGAAAAATCCACAAGTAGGTTTTTGGACATCAATAGTTGGTAATCGTCATATCATAGAATATAATTAGTTATTATTGTAGTATTGCTACTGATACTACAGGTAACATTGTTATTTCAGGTACCTGACTGTATCATTGTATCTGTCTGTTCTTTTAAAATATGTTTTTCCGTTAACAAGCTGTCGCCCTCCTACGAACGACCACTCTCAAAAATCGAAACTTGGACTAATGAGGTCTTACCTTCCAACGTGTGATTCCCAACACGGGACTTTAAGGATTTGTCTTGACAAAATGTATCAGATACTTGAGAATGGTATAACAAACCGAAACCGGTCGTAACAAATAATAAACTCAGTAGAAATTAGACAAATGTATTCCCTCTATCCTATATTTCCTTTCAGAAACTTCTGAAAATATATTTTTTTCAATATTCTCTCGCCCCGATGAAGTTGCTCCCGATATGTGAAATACTAGTGGAGTATCTACCCCTTCTTGCTGTAAATCGGCACAATGTGGCTAAAAATGCTTCTGTGGACGGCTTCGGTGGTGCAACAAATAAATAAGCACATATAAATGACTTGATTTGAGATACACAAAATTTGGGTAAATCACCTATGGGGGTTGAAAGGCAATGGGTTCATGTGAGGGAATCGGCCGATACCTGATGAAAATCCATAACTTATTCAAGAAAGACTTCATTGTAAGTTTTTCACTAAACATTTTTACAAAAACGCAACACGTATTTTGCTAGCCAATAGCTTCTTCGGGCGCTATACAATAGCTTCCTCATGCTTCAATTTTCCCTCACGTCAAACAGTTATGTATAACCTCGCCCAGAAAATTGTGTAGTTTCCATACTGCAATGTAAATGATTTATAGGAATCTCAGAGATAATAAGTTAGGTTAATTTCGGATTGCTTGGAGGTAGTACAGGGAATTTTTTGTCGTATGACAACCCGGAATGACATAACTGACGGATATCTGATGAAAATCCACTTATAATATGATTTATTTTGATTCTCACTGTGAAAGGTTTACAAAACCGCCGCACTTGCTTCTGTATACAATAGTTTTCTTTGATTTTATAATAGGTTGTGAAAGCATTTACCCTCTTTCAAAAAAAGTTATTTTTTCTGTTGAATGTATATATTAAACGTGCTTCACAGTGAAGCAATTCAGGAAGTGTATTTTTGCCATGGCGAAGTGTATTTTTGAGTATTCTCAAAGATGTCGTTAGCGCGTATAAAGTGTGCTACTATCCTTTCAATTTTCGGTAAAGAACTTTAATTCTCTGAGTGGAAATCTATAAAATTGGAATTAACGATTGTTGTTATCGTAAAATAACTACTTTCTTCCGAAGCGAAGATTTGAAAATGTAAAATATTATCAAGTTCTTTAATCTTGGCAAAGAAATGGGAAACCGTTCCACTGTAACGAAAAATCTGTGAAGTTGTGAAGAATAGAAACTACATAAAGCGCAGGTTTTTTTTCTCGTATAAAGCTGTGTAATAATGGTCTCAAGTTGGAACTTCTTTTTACGTGAACCACCAGGTGCAATTACAATCTAGAAATGACGTCTTTATTTTCACTTTGCCAATTTTTTTTTATTCATCGAGGAGTTGAAAACTAAACTTGTATTTAATATCCTTATTTAATCTGAAGAATAAGGTAGATACTATCATGGAAATGAAGAATCCTTTGAAAGAACAATGCATCAGTGTATACGTATCTATGTAATAAATAAAGAAATGTTTTGTTCACCGGGTACAATTTTATATTTTAAGTTGCTAAAATTATATTCAGTTTATATTCTGGGGCCTAGTATTTATTTCAGTTTTTTTTTTAAGAAATCTGTACGACTATTAGATTGATTTCCTTAGCGTGATTAAGTATATTATTTTTTCGAATTGTAACTATTATACCGAAGGCTTATCAGGATATTGTGAATGTAACGGAAGGGAATATTCGTATTTTAGTTCAAACTTCCGTTGATTTCAGTGAATTATCGAAGTAACTTTGATATTAAAAACGTGTTTGTCTTCGGAAAAACTTTCGCCATCTATTTCGTTTCCGGTAGGAAGGCATAGAGTGTGAGTAGGATGATTCATTAGCCTATCAGTAGTACCAATTAAATGAAAATACAACATCATGAAAAATGCTAAGAGGACGCTATTAAACTTAAAACATTCTGTCATTCAACATTAGTTCCATTGTCTTGCAGACAGAATTGCAACCTCTGGCGTAAAATTAATCTAATGAAAACACTTCTCCACGTCAGAACTAAAAAACAGTATCGATTTATGTTTCGCTAACCAAGTTAGCATAATCAGGAGTCATCTCCGGATGATGCTAACTTGGTAAGCCAAATGCTCGTCGCCAAGAAACACTAATTTCGTTGTAGGAAAAATGACATATACAGTGTATTTCTTTAATGTCCTCCCCCCGGTTTTATTTTTTGAATGGGTCAACTCAAAAAATTGAAATTTGGGATCATGAAAGTAAGGCATGAATTCTTTATTTTGAAGTGAAATTGACAGATGAAACTTCCAAGATGGAGACAGGGCGCCATCTGAGAAAAAAATTGAATGGAGAAGGGGATCTTGTGACACATTATTCTGAAGCTCCTGATGAACATTTCACAACCCTAGAATATGAAGTCAAAATCTTCACCTACTACAAAACGGCGGAACATTCAATAACTTCCAGAAGACAATCTCGTTAATATCGAAATTTCTAGAAATATTTCTTTTTATCTGCCATATTGCAATTCCAACAACCAGATGAGGTTTGTTAAGTTATTTTTTGTTAATAAAAACGACAAAAAATGTCAGTACGATAATGAAGTTCATTGTTCAGTTAGAATATTCTCATTTAGTTTTCGGTTTTCCCAATATCCAGAAAAAATCAACGTTTGGGCAAGAATATTGGGAAACCATATTTTAGAACCTCTATTCATTGATCAACATTCAACAGGGGAACTGTATTTGAATATGCTGGAAACTACTGTTGACCCTCTCATCACTGAAATCGTCGAAGCGAATCCTGATGAATTCGATATGGATATTGTATTCCAACAAGATGGAGCACCACCACATTACTCCAGACAAGTAAATAACTATTTGGATACTACTTTTCGCGGTCGTTGGATTGGCCGTCGAGGTCCTACAGAATGGCCAGCCCGCAAACCTGATTTGACACCTTTGGCCATTTTAAATGGGGCTATGTGAAGCAAAAGGTGTACGAAACTGAACCAGCTTCGATATGGGATATACGGAAGAAAATAATAAATATTTGTAGAGATATTGACGTTACTGTGTTCGAAAATGTTCGGCGTGAAATATCGGATAGGCTGTTCATATGTCGAGAAGTTCAAGGCAACCATTTCGGGCATCTTCTGAACTGACCTC